TCTTTTAGGAGAAGGTCCTCATTCCAACTTTGATTGGAAATGGAAATGTTATAGTTTGGGTTTATTTCATGCAGCATACAGTCATTTAGTCAACTATGAGCATCAGCATCATATCACAGAGGTCTGGGTCAGTCTATCCAAAAACTGAACCTGAGCCAGAAATGGAGCTTTCAGCAGGATAAAGATTCTGATCACAATAGAAATCCACTAAGGAATGTCTCAATCAGGAGAAACTGATGGATTTAGAGGAGTCTAATAAAAGCTAAATTGAGACATCCTTCAACATTTTTCAGCTGAAGAGTGGCCAAAATCAGAGATAGTGGAAACTTATTCAGAGGTTTTTAGTTTGTTTGTTTTTTTGCTACATCTATTAAATCTACTTCTTCACTCCCTGAAAGGAAAGATCAATGTTGTTGTTGTTGTTTGTGCCATTTTCACATCAGTTTATGGTTTTTATTACTCAGTGTGGGCCGTGCCATATGGTGACTCTATGCTGTGTGTTCTCACACTCTCCTTGCCCAGCTGGTTTTGTGCCATCAGTCTGCTCAAATATACCTGGATGTGGGCCATTATCCAGAGAGCGCAGGACGTCTGTGACAGCTAAATTGCCTTCTGGCGCAAAATTGTTTTAAATGAGAAATCTTATTTGCCTCAGCTTTGATACAGAGCCCCACTCTGTCTGGCTGCATTTCGCTCTGACCGTGCTGCTCCCTCCGCCTTCTTGAAAATCACGTGTGCACGTGCACGTGCACGTGCACACAAACAGAAATACACACCTGTGTTTGCTAAAGGAGAGAAGGGGCAATAGAGAGAGGGAGAGAAACTGAAGAGCTGTGTCATTTAGTTTCCTCTTTCATTTTTTACTGTTGGGTCTTGAGTTCCTCCTGTCTATAAAACTACCAAGCTGAATTTCATAAAACTAGGTGGAGAGGTAGAGCGCGGTCAAGGGAAGAATCTAGTAAATATTTATGCACATCCGGAGTACTTTCTTTGAAATTGCTAAATGGAGCTTTGGCCTTGGCTTAATTACATTTTGAGGACAAAAAAGCAAATGAATCAAAGTGAGAACTTTTGCAGGTAGTCAAACTGAATAGATTGAGAGATTGACTGTGTTTATAGAGATTTTTCACTTTAACTGTTTGTGCAGCAAACACAGTCTGTGAATTTCATCGTGTTGTGTTGAGTGCTTGTGCGTATACTCCTGGTCTCAGGGATTTGTACAAGAACCAGTTCTTTACAGACGTTGCAAGACAGAGACTCTGACTCAGTAGTGAGCAGCTACTTGATACAAAGCAGATTATGGAGTGGCTACAGCACTAATCCAGGGCTGATGCATTCATTTTGTAGGGACAAATGCAGGGGAAACATCAGACATTATTATTGTATTAGAAACTAATATTTCTGAGATTGTTTCATTAAAAACTAGCATCTCAATTCCAAAAAAAGTTAGGATGCTGTGTAAAATGTAATGACCTGCAAATCTCATAAAACCATGTATTATTTTCAGTAGAACATAGAAGAGATATATATGTTATATTTACAAAAAAAAAAACTTTCTCACGAAGAAATATTAGCTCATTTTGACACGCGTCAAAACATTTACAGGGGCAACGAAAAGCTGGAAACGTAAGTGGTAATTGCAACTAATTAGTTTGACTGGCAGCAGGTCAGGAAGATGATTGGATATAAAAAGAGCATTTTAGAGCGGTAAAGCTTCTCAGTAGGCAGAGGTTCATGAATCTGCAAAAAGAAATTGTGGAAAACTTTCAGAACAATTTTCCTCAATGTAACATTGTGAAGACTCTTTATATCCCATCGTATACAATACATAAAATCATCAACAGATCGGAAAATCTGGAGAACTCTCTGTGTGCAAGGGACAATGATGAAAATCAATATTGGATGAACGTGATTTTCTGGCTGTCTGGCAGCACCACATTAAAAACAGAACATTTCTGTTGTGGAAGTCACTGCAGGGGCTCAGGAACACTTACAGAAATCACTGTCTGTGAGCACAGTTCACCGTGCCATCCACAAATGCAGGTTACAGCTCTGTGACACAAAGAAGAAGTTGTATATAAGCATAATCCATAACAATGCTGCCATCTTCTCTGGGACAAAGCTCATAAAAAACAGACTGGAACAAACTGGAAAACTGTGGTCAGAGAAGTCAAAATGTAAAACTCTTTATGGACCATCCGATTTATTTTCAGCTATCAGTTCAAAAGCCTGCGTCTCTGATGGTATGTGGGTGCATTAGTGCTTCTGAAATTGGCAGCTTGCATATCCGGAAAATGCACCATCAATGTTGAAAGGTGTATAAAGGTGACTTATTAAAGGAACATATGCCTCCATCCAGATGACTTTTTTTTT